AAGCATGCAAGTCCTCACATGCACAATTGTTGCCTTATTCATTCAAATGGAGAAAGCATATCTGCAGACAAGATTCATTAACTAGGCAGTCTGAGCATAACCCAGCTTGCTTTAAGCTGAATTATTATTATTATTATTAATGAATGAAATTAGTATACAGTGGTACCTCGGGTTACAGACACCTCAGGTTACAGACGCTTCAGGTTACAGACTCCACTAACCCAGAAATAGTACTTCGGGTAAAGAACTTTGCTTCAGGATGAGAACAGAAATCGTGCAGCGGCGGCCACAGCGGCGGGAGGCCCCATGAGCTAAAGTGGTACCTCAGGTTAAGAACAGTTTCAGGTTAAGAAAGGACCTCCAGAACGAATTAAGTTCTTAACCGAGGTACCACTGTACTGCCCTAACCACAGGTCTCAGGGCAGTTCCCAGGATAAAATCACGATATTAAAACACAGAATACATAATCAACATAAAAACAATTCATGAGCAATACCAGGTATGAGGCTGCTAGTTTATCACATTTAAAGGTATGATGTAAAAAGTTTAGAGAATGTGTTTGTCCTAAAATACAGGCGGTCTATAAATAAATACATAAATTCCTCAAAACACCCCAGGAAGCTAACCTATTATCAGAATCAGTTTGTTTTGTTTTTCATAATAATAATAATCCGCAATATTTTAAAAATATTTTTACTAGTCAACTGACAATGGACATTTGTTACAACAGAAAGAGAGAAACAGTGTATTACTTTAGCTTCAGTACAACTCATATCCCACTTCCTTCTATTCTTCTATTATCAAGTTATTAACCCTCAGCCATTTTGCCTGAACTGTTCCTTGTCAGCTGATGGCCTGCTCTCACACGTTCACTGCGTATTTCAGTTGCTGCCACTGACGAGAATGATTGATGGATCACTGTCTACATGATGCATCCTGTGGACCTCCCTAAGGCCCCCGCACATCAATTCTTCTTGATTGCTGGTATTCATTATGTATAATGATTATCCTGTGCATTACATTAAGCTGCATGAAAAGCTTTTTGCCTGAATTGGAAAATTAGATGTTCTTGTATGCTTGCCAGTGGAAGGCTTTTTTCACTGTGAGTGCTGCACCTTGACACTAAAGGACTAGGAAGCATGTTCTCACAGAAGTCACCAAAGGACTCATCATATACTAGCATGAAGAAACATTTGACACAGCAGTGGAACACAGGGATTTGCCTCTAGCTGGAATGAGATGCTGCCGCAACAGGGAGAAATGCTATTGCTGCAGCTATACAACTACTATTTATATAGAATGAAATGTGCAGAAGGCACAATATATTTATTTATTTATTGCCCACCCTTCGCCCTAAACCACCCAGGGCAGATTACAACATGAAAACACAATTTTAAACAACTTGCAATCACAGGAAGGCTTTAGTTGTGGTTCCTGAACTGCAGGGGATTGGACTAGATGACCCTTGGGGTCCCTTACAACTCTGGAATTTTAATTCTGTAATGGAATTGTCCATGGGGCAAAAATCAGGGGAGAAGTCATGAGACGCAGGAGGACTTACTAGTAGGATGCTAGAGCAACTGGTGCAGTAGGATGTGGGTTTTTCATTGCCATTTCATTATTTTCATTGCCATGATCCTACACTTTGTAGAAGGGAAACTCCCCACCGGAGTAGAAATCATATATCGAACGGATGGAAAGCTCTTCAATCTGAGCAGGCTGAAAGCAAAGAGTAAGGTTACCGTAACGTCCGTCATAGAGCTTCAGTATGCTGATGACAACGTGGTGTGTGCACGTTCAGAGGATGACCTCCAAACCATCCTAAATATCTTTGCAGATCCTTGCAAAAAGCTTGGCCTATCATTCAACATCCAAAAAACCAAAGTGCTGCACCAACAAGTACAAAATAACCCCTCTGCAGCGCCACAAATCCAACTCAATGGTGTAACATTGGGAAATGTCGATCACTTCTCCTACCTAAGCAGTTATCTTTCCACAAGGGCCAACATTGATGCCGAAATCCAGCATCACCTGAGCTCTGCGAGTGCGGCTTTCTCCCGATTGAAGTGCAGAGTGTTTGAGGACCGGGACATTTGCAGGGAAACCAAAATGCTTGTTTACAAAGCTATTGTGCTACCAACCTTACTATATGCTTGTGAAACATGGACCACTTATAAACACCATTTCCAACTCCTTGAAAGATTCCATCAACGGTGTCTCCGAAAAATGTTACACATCACTTGGGAAGACAGGCGAACTAATATCAGTGTATTGGAAGAAGCAAAGATCACCACTGTTGAAACAATGATTCTTCAACATCAACTTCGTTGGACTGGTCATGTTGTGCAGATGCCTGATGATCGTCTTCCAAAGCAACTACTCTATTCCGAACTTAAAAATGGAAATTGTAATGCTGGTGGTCAACAAAAGAGGTTTAAAGACTGTTTCAAGGCAAATCTTTAAAAATGTAGTATAAATACTGACAACTGGGAAACACTGGCCTGCGAGCGCTCAGTTGGACAACAGCCTTTACCAAAGGTGTCGTGGGCTTTGAAGACACTTGAACTCAGGACGCAAGGGAGAAACATGCTAAGAGGAAGGCACGCTTGGCAAATCCACACCGTGATCAACTCCCGCCCAGAAACCAATGTCCCCAGTGTGGAAGGACGTGTGGATCCAGAATTGGCCTCCACAGTCACTCACGGACTCATTGTTAAAACTGTGTTTATGGAAGACAATCTTACTCAGCTATGAGTGATTGCCAAAGAAGAAGAAGAGGGTGTGGGTGAAGTGGACCTCCTGACACTGCTGCTGCTTACCAGGATAGGAGGGCTCTGGAGAGACTGGAGCTGCACAGGTGCGCCATCAGGAGCATCACAATGACACCCTGCCTCAAAGTTGTCTTTCAAATATCCTTCGGGTGGGGAAGCATTTCACTTTCCCCTATCACCCACTGATACTGCATTTCAAATCTGAACATGCATTGAGAGAATTTGGCCTGAGCCATGATGGGTTGCACCACATCACATCTGAGTTGCCCTGCAACAACAACGAAGTTAAAATTCTCATTCAGAAAAAGAATAGTGATTCTGAATCCCAGTTGTCCTTCAAGTTTCAGTTTCTTCAAAGTTGTTCTTTTTAGAGTTAAATACTTGTTAAACTCTGCTCCCTGGATCAGGCATTTGTTTAGATCTCAGCATATATGGGGGAGACGATGATTCTTTGAAGAAACACAATCTGATCTTAATCTGGAGATTCTACACCTATGCCTTCAGGCACCAGTTTTAGGTAAAGGTCACCCAGGCTAGATAAAGAGAGTAATACAGAGTCGCTCACAGTGGTGAATCATTCCTTAGTTCCTTTGATTTCACCATACTTATTTTGGAATGAAATTATTTGACCTATTTCTTGTACCCTCAAGAAGTACAACACAAGACTTCAAACTCACTGGCATTAAATCTTGCTGCAAAAGGGCAAGGAGCCACCTTGCTCCCCTCTACGCAACCCAGTGTTTCAGTAATATAAAAATCCGCACCAAAAAACATACGATGACAGCTAATCATTTGCAAACATACAACTCTTTCAACGTCTGCCATGTCCCCCTTCACTTTATAGCATCTGTCTTGGCAATATAAATTGAGCTTGGTTTCAGAGGAGCTCAGTGTGGTAGAAAGGAGAAAAACAATTTGGCAAAGGAAGGAATAAAGAATGGTGTGGGGAGCAGAAGGGGAGTCAGACACAGGAACAAAGCTGTTTGCTTTCCCTGGCTCTTTCCTGAAAGAAGAATGGCTTTAGGTTTGCTTTCTTGCCATCTTTAAACAGCAATGCTACTGGAAGCAAAATGACAACTATCACGTTTATGAAAGGTGCCAAACAACCCGAAGTCCTCCTAAAAGAATCCCTTCAAACAGCTGCTCAGAAAGAAAACAATTTTGTCTACCACACGGAGATGAAATATGTCACTTGAAATATATTGCTACAAGAAGTTAATTCCCTCCCCTTCTAAACTAAGAGCTCTGCTCCACATACAGGAAAGTGCAGGAAGAAGTTACTGGGGAAAAGATAAATTCAAGTTGGGGCTTATTAATCAAAATACGTTCCTGGGCTGTATCATACCTCCATCACTCACATGTTTACTACAAAATCACCAACCTCACCACCAAAGCATGCATCTCTTAAAACAAATAACTTTCAATTTTGGCTACATTGCTGGTGTTTGACATTGCATTCAGGCTGTTGTGTTTTAAAGTAATTTTTAAAGGGATTGTCCTGGTTTTGGGTTTTTTCAGCTAGGAGAAAAAAGAATCTCACCACTATGGAGCACATGTTTTCTGTTAACAGAATGGAGTGCAATTGTCCATAGCCTCTTTGAACTACTGAAAAACTATATGTTTCTAGCAAAAATCCTCCAAAAACTGTATCTATATCTAGTATTGCATCCACACTCAAGAGTAGTAGAATATCCAAGCAAATGCATTTATTCCATTGATTTGAAATTTGTCATTTCTATTTATGTGAACAAAATTTCAGACACGTGAGCAGCAAATTAGATAACAAAAGCAATTGGATACCATGTGAGAATAAAAAGAAAGAAAGACAAAAAGGTTTGTCAACTATTCAATATTAAGAGGTGGTAGGAAGCAAGACCAGACGGTAAGGGGGCTATTATCATTTTCTGGTTTTATATTTAAGCACCACTCCATTGACCTTCTGATTCTGCTTTTGTCATGTTGAAGGTTTCTTGTTCTGTTTGTCACCCATGCCCTGCCTTCTCCATTTGCTCTGGAACATGTTTTCTGATAATTAATACTTCAATATAAACAAGTTTCTTAAAAACTTACTTCTTTCTCACTGCCTTATCATCTTACTCTTTAAGCTGAGTGTTTAAGTTTTGTAAGTCACACTGAATATCCATTTTATCCCAAACTGAAATATACACAACTTGTGTGTGTGTGAGTGTGTGTGTTTATATATTTCTTTCCCTTTCCTTTTTTTCTTCTAATATGTTTCTAGATTAAAGCCATTTTTGACAGGCACATGCATGTTTTTATCATGAAGAAACACCGAGCATAATGGTAAAGACCAACATAAAATAAACTGATAACAGCACTAATATTTTACAAAGTATTTTTAGTTGCAACAGAATACATATTAGGGCAAATCAACTCCCTGCAGCAATTTGGCCCACAGTGTCTGCAGCAGGTTATTCAGAATGTGGATGGCCATTAACTGAACAGGTGCACCATCGCTTCATTCTTCAGTACCCAAGGGCACCTTCCCAAAAGGGAAATTTCATGCTTAGTCAAACCTAGGAAGCATATGATGTAAACATATGTCAGTTCTCCTTCTATGTATTTGCTGCAGTCTCCCCCACCCTTCCCAGCTTCCCAAAATAACTTTCAGTTAAAGATAAATGATTTTCTACAGAAGTTTTTCTCCAGTGACTCATAACTATAGAATGGGTTTCTCGGGAGTATTAGAAAACCAACTGTTTTATACCATAGGGATTTTTGCTAACATGCCCCCCCCCCAAATCCCCTCCAGCTTACCTTTCTTACAACAACAACAACAACAACATAACACTTCCTTGAAAATTTCTGTCTACAGAACAGAAGTTGTTAATCCCCTAATACTGGTCTTAATATAAAAGAATTTGAGAATCCAGCTGATATGTTCTCTCATTTGTTAAAACCTGATAAAACCTATCTCCTGCACCTATCTCCTGCACAGAAGTGACCTCCAGTGGGGTTCCAGTGAGAGCACAGCTGCACTCCCTGTGGCCAGTGCAATCGTCCCAGCCCATATACCGTATTTACTCAAATCTAATGCTCACCTTTTTCAGCCAAATTACATTGCAAAAATTAAGGTGTGAATTAGATTCAACGGCACATTTACATTCGCCAGCAAATACTTTTTTCGGTTCTGAAAATGGAGGTGTACATTAGTTTCAATGGTACATTAGACTCCAGTAAATACGGTACTTAAAGGGCATCCTTGCCTCTGTAGGGGGAAGCATTAAATTGATGGGATGAATATCTAGTACCAGGCCACAAGCTATACTGTCCAAACAAACCAAAAAGCCCCCTAGTAGATTTGGGCCAGGATTGTTTGAGCTTTTAGTCACTACCAACCCCAAGGCATCCAGCAGGTCTAGCTGGAGGTCACACAGCTGACCTCCCTCCCACTACAGGGAAAGCTACAGGGGTAGTAGTATGTCTGCTGTGAGCCACCATAATCTCTTCCTGCTACACAGCAGAGAAGTGGGGTGAAGAAGATAATGGAGAAAGAAAGGGAAAGAGAGATAAGAGTGTGCCAAAAGAGGTAAACAGAAAGAGATGAGAAGCTGAGGGAGATGGCAGAGGAAGAAGTGGGCCAATCGAAGAGAATGAGGATGGATGCTAAAGGGGAATTCTCTCTGTGTGTGAGGGATTCTCTGTATCCCCTCAGAAAGCTTTGAAAAGGCACTGAAACGGGGTTCTCTTAGGAATCAAGGAACTATGTTTGTCAAAAAGCTTGATAAATTTCTCTAAGAGCCTCTCTTCCAAAGCTCTGGGAATGCTTCAACAATTATAATGGGGGCTGAAGAAGGCCACTGAGGCATGCCATTTTGTGGATGCACACCCTGCCATTTTTTCCTCCCTGCTTCAGCAAGGTTATTTATATTTATAGCTTCCCCTACCATAGAAGTCTCAAAGTGGATAACAGGAAGTCCCTTGAGGAAGAGTGGAATGTCAGTACTGCAATTGGCTGACCAAGGAGAATATGCTGGGGACAGATAATAGTTTCTGAGAGAGCTGAAAGTATTTTGAGAAAGGTTTTGCTTTCCACATTATATACGTGCATTTATTTTGTTCCACTATTGCTTTTGATTTGAAACATTGCTAAAACTCAGAAAAACTATTTATGAGAGGCAAGATTGGGGTGAGTGTAAACATGATGAGCAGTAATCCCCTTTTCAAACTGCCTTCAAGCTTCAACTCTCTGAGAAAACTGCCTTCTATCTTTAGCCCAAGCCTAATCCCCTCCAAACCATTCCTACCTGTCTACTACTGCCTTTGACTATCTGACGCTGGACGTAAGCAAGCCTCAGCTTCCAGCTTTTGTGCTTTCTGTCCTAAAGCTTCCCACCCCACAATTTCTTAAAGCTTTCCCTACTTATAGTTTTGGGTTTTTTTGTTATTGCATCTTTCCAGCTCTTCCTAGTTCCGTTTTCTGTAGTACCATTATCCATTCATCCCCATAACAGCTGTGGCCAAGCTATTCATTCATTCATTCATTCACTAAGACAGAGAGAGTGAAAGGGGGAAACTTTGCTGTGGTTGCTATTAGACTTCATCAAGAAGAGAGCAGCCTGAAAGGGTCTGTTGTGGCTCATTTTTATGTCCTTGTGTCCAGCTACAACTGCTGATTCTATCTTCTAACTGTCACACAAAACTGCAGAGGAAAAATAATACATGAAAAGGCGAAGTTGCCAGTGATGTTGGCTGAGAAAACACTATGCATAGAGCCCTGCTACTGAGCCAGAGATCTCTGAACCCAAGTTGCTCAAGACTGCACAAAGACTGCAGCCCTTAAGCCCAAGCTTCATCAAGGGGCTAGCATACCTGTACCTCCAAGGGCCTCACACTCCACTGAGCTATTGTGCCAATGAAGTCAGCAGCCCTCCAATGTGCATTTGGAAAGATGACTCTGTAAGGGATTCCAGGCCACAGGGCTGCCCTTATAAAGCTCTGTACTGCTTAGCAGACGAGTGTCCTCAGGCTCAGGGAGCATAAAAAGGATGGTACCTAGGCAGAGTGCATCAGAAGCAGCCAATGTGGTGCCATCTAGAAGCTGCTGAAATACAACTCCCATCAGTCTCAGTCAACATGGCCAATGGTGAGGGATGATGAATTTTGTAGCCCAATTATTGTTGGAGGGCACCACATTGGCTACCCTGCTGTACACGGCCCTGAAAGACCTCAGATTCCCTTCTTTTCAGGAATCTCAATATTAACTGCCTGTTTCCTGTTTACTTTACTAGGATAGGGCATGGGACTTTGTTCATATGTGGGGGAGGGGGTGGCAGTGGAGGGGATTATGGGTCATTTAGCTACTTAGTTCATTAGATCAGGGATCAGAACCAGGGGTACTCTTCTTCCCCACACATATGCATATTTCAGATATTTTCAATGGAGTCTGCTAAAGATTGGTGAATATTGGGCATAACCCCTTTGTTAAGCTCAGAAAATATACACAATAAATATTTCAAGCAGATGTTCTAAAAGCCCATGTGTCTGGGTACACACCAAGTAATGCAGGAATTTTCTAATTCTGTATCATCATTGCTTCAATACCATATGATACATGATACTTAAAATCATTTCTGCACAGAGAAACTTCCACTGTACTGAGCTACTCCCTTGGAATTCCTCTCTAGAACCCTGTGCACTATTTTCATCTACCAGACACAGGACTATGCTGTGATGGTTTGATTAGATGTAATAAACTATTATCTTATTCTTGACACAACTTAACATGAAGATATGCAACTTAGATGACTAACGCAATGCATTATTGAACAGCCCAAATTAAAATGGAATACAATTAGAGATGCCATCCATCCAGATGATGGATGCTCTTCGCCTTCCTGTTTTGTAAACATTATGCCAATGTTCTCTCTGTATGTTTGCCTCTTCTTCCCTTTCAAATATTTTGTTATGCTGTAGGTTGGATCCTAATGCTACCCTTTTGCTTGCGGAACAGCTTTGGATTCAGTAGAGGCATCTGCTAATGGAAAAGGAGGGTCAGGGAAGGCAGGTCTGAATTTCTTCAGACAGGAACTCACCCACTCTCAGAAAGTATCTACTAGTTTTAAAGGGAATTATTTAAAACAATACACTATATGCAAAGCCTGTGATTTTGTTTGTTTGTTGTTTGCTTCAAAATTATTAGTTTTAATTCCTAAGTAAGTCAACATAACTTTAAACTAACACTGGAAATCCAAACACATTCCCTTAGGGGAGTTAGTAAAACTCGTGTTTAGCAACATGGGGTCACATCCAATTAAGTTCAACTTCAATGGATACCCACTGAAATTAATGGACCTACGTTGGTCATGTCAAATTAATTTCCATGGGTCTACTCTGAGTATGATTAACACTGGATACAAATCATAAGTTGCTATTCATGGAATTTAGTAAGGAAGACCAAATACAAATTCCCCAGGAGTTGTATTTGCAAAACTAGGACGGTAACGAGTGGAAGAGAACATGCTTCACATGCAAAATGTTCCAGGTTCAATCCCTGTAGTCTCAATGTAAAGCTGGCAAAGACTCCAGTCTGGAACCCTGGAGAGCCACTGTCAGTCAGTGTCAACAATACTGAGCAAGATTCACCAAGCGTCTGACTTGGTATAAGGCAGCTTCTTATATTCCTATGACCCTGTAGTAAAGTTAGTATCGTTTAGAAGCTGTTCCTTGGTCAAGCAATGAGAGTGAGGCCTTGTGGGTAACCAACAAGCCACAAGGACCATGGGAAATAAGTTCTGTCCCTTTAACCCCAGACTAACAGGCACCCAGGGTGTGAAAGTTTTATTATGGGAAAGGAAACCCCTGATTTAATGGAAGGCTTGACACCTGGGTCCAAGTTCCGTGCATTCCCTTAGCGATGTTATCTGGCCTTGATGGCCTGGGAATGTGCATTTGCAGAGGCGCCACGGAAGGGAGGAAAACCTTTGATTTAGGCTCTGGGTTCTTACTTGGCCCAGCTGCCAGAAGTTAGATTGATTAGCCCGCAAGCCGGTCATTGGAGAATTTAAAAATAATCAAGAGTTATGATTGGTTTTGGGGGGTTCCGACGCCACGTGTGAATCAGGGATAAAAGATCTGGGAAATGGCTGAGAAAGTGCGCTCTGCAATCCGCAAATCGCCCGGCTGCTGATGTTCCACCTAAGTAGCTGTCTTTACATCCTTTGTGATGGAGAACTGCGAAAGCTTCTGAACTGCGGAATCTTGAAAGGACTCTAACTATCCCTTTTGTGCTTTAGTTGTGAGTATGTAAGCCAGTTAGATTTCACAATGTTTTTATTTTTCTTGTCTGTAACTTACTAAAGAAGTGCCTGCTATTTTAGCATGTTTCCTTATGTTCTTTTAAAATAAATTTTAAATAAGAAACTGTTTTGGTTTGTGTGCCTTTCCGGGGGAAAAGCTAATTCCTAGCCTTACGCTTAGTTACGCTCTACCGTAGAATTTCTGTCTGCAAGTTTGTGGATTCAACTTGTGGAGTGGGGATAACCAGTAATAACAGGGCACAGCCTTCTCCCTGGGTTGTGACTCTGGGTTCCCCGGAACAGAGGGAGTGGTGGCAGCTCTACCGGTGTGATTTTGTCCTGTATAACGTAACTTTGCCTGCCAGCCCTGTTCAAGAAACCTGATCTGGCCGGAGAGCAAAGACAGGTGAGGGAGGAGCGAGCGGCTGGGGGCAACTTTACTACAGACCCTATGTTCCTAATTTAGAGGAGCTTGGTAATCAGCTTTTCTGATATCACCTGAAAACTGGCTGCAGAAACCTAGGAAAACAACTGTGTTAAGAAACATAAACCCAAACAGTATTGAAATACCTTAAAGGAAATGTGCCAACTTTAAGTTTATACATTTTCTATTCTTTCTTCCAAGGAGAAAATAAAATAAAGTTATCAGTATAAAACCAGTGTCTGTGAAGAATATGACAGTACAGAAAATAAAATAATTATTTTAAATTCCATTGCATTCATCATTAAGGTCACTTAGATATGCAGAAACATATCACGGGAGGAGGAAATGGGACAGAGTTCCTTGGTCTACAAGAGAACAAATCAAAACACAACAAAAAAATCAAGAGGGAATATCATATTTGCAAGGGCTATCTATTCAGATATCTTCCAGGGCAATGATGGAGCCAATATCCTAATGAAAAACAAACAAACCAGCCGTAAAGCATTGTAGGAAGTTGGACCTAATTCTTCCATTATTACATGATATAAAAATAAACAGTTCTTTTTTAAAAAAAGAAGAAGAAGAAAGAACAGAGCAATTGCATATTAAAAATACTAAAATGTAGCCACCATCTGTTACCTTGTAAGTCAGCTTTCATTAAGGCCATCACCTCTTCATGAGCCACCACAGGGAGCTATCATTACCATTAGCTATGATTAATGAGAATGTTGCCAATTGCAATTATTCCACCCAAAAGCTTAGGGATATTTTGGCAGTATCACATAGCCTAACTACAACCTCCATTCTCCTAATAACCTCATTAAAACCACTGTTTCAATTAAGATTATGGCTGCAATCCTGAAACCACTTACGAGCAGTTTCAGTGGCTTAAACAAGGAATGATTCAGCACGATATGAAAGTATTCTGCTAAGCAAAAGAAATTTCTGTCATCAGATCTCAGGTATTTTACAGTTGTTTCAGTCCAACTGGCTTCATTCAGTTACACATGTTTAAGTCCCACTGCAAGCGAATTGTAGTGAGTTTACATAACAGGCTGAACTTCAGTCAATATTCATAAGTCACTTTCAAACAACCATTTTGTTCCTGGTAGTTCCACCACCTTCAGAGGTTCAGCTGTGTATGTGTGACCTGGGACAGGGCATTCCCTGTAAAAGCAGAGGTGTGTCTGGCATCTTCATTGGACAGCTTATGTCTGACGAAGGCAAATAGTAATAAAAACAAACAAGAGGAGTGAATATCATTGCCATGTATCTACTTTATTCCTTTTGGGAGTAAATGCAACATTGCTGCTGGCATTTATCTGTCTCAAAAGACAATTGAGTATGCTTCTGGGGATGAAGGCAAACTGCATAGTGACCTATCTGGCGCACAAGGAAGTCCTGGGCTGCCTATATGACAAGACCCCCCGCTCTCGGCCTCGCCAGTGTGGTCCAAAGGAAAGCAGAGCAATACATTTGGCATCAGCTTGGCTGCAGGAGTTAGGAGGTGTACAAGGAGCCATCCAATCAATTTAGGGACTGCACTCCAGATCTTTGTAGGGTTTACGCCTTAGTCTTTTCTTCTCCTGAAGATGTCCCACCAGGTAGCGGATATGGATTCTTCCTCAGAGAAAGTCAGATTTGCCCTAGCGTGCATGAGTTTGTGCACACCACCAGGCCAATCAGAAGTTGAGATTAAAATAAAAATCCAGACCATGTAAAAACTATTCTGTTGTTTTACACTCAGTATCACAAAACCATCTGGGCAAGTTTATGAAAATTTCCTCAAAGAGATTTTTTAGATGCCTAGCTTGTCACCAGACTCATAAGGCAAAATTTGAAGTGAGCATTTTTCCTCAGGCAAAACATCTGAAATTTAGAGGAAAGACAAAAAAGTTTTTCAGACAACTAACCCATTTTTCAGTGGGGAGAGCAATACCTACTTTTAATAGCAGGAACATGCCCCTTAGATTTATTTTTAATTATCAGTAAAGTCCAAGTTGTAGAGAGGGGGGGAAAGAATCCTTGTATTAATAACAGTCAATATCTAAATGAAAAGTGGATCTAATCAACTAAAGATGTCCCATTCTGTTATTGTGACAAGATTAAAATATTGACCTCTGGCCATTGTATAGTAACTGTAGGATTGCATCCAAGTAATCATCCTGAACTACAGCATTATAATTTGAACAAGAGATTAAAACAGAAAATGTAACCCATACATCTCCTGAAATAACAGCTGTCAAACTACAAAACTGTCTACTGTATCCATGCGCCAGAATGCTTTCCAAGGAGCTCTGACACTTAAAATGCATTTGATTTATATTAGATGCCATTTGAAGGCTCCAGCACACTTCCTCCCACATTTAATCCCCAGGAGTCAAAGCCTTAAAAAAATGCCATTTGGAACATCCATTATAATCCATTTTAATAGTTCGTCCTAAGGACCATAATCTATTTCCCTTTACATAAGCATCAGCTACAAAGCCTTGAACAATATACAAACATGCTCTTGATGGTGAGAACAGAATATACAACACACACACTAATAATAATAATACATTATGATACCTTCTAAGGTGTTACGGGGAAATGTACCCGCTTAAGTGATTCTGAGAGCACCCTTAAATTCAGAATTGGCTTCCACATTTTATGCTTTTTATACAAAACACCAAAACAGGTATTGACATTTCTTGTGGCTTTCTCTGAAAATAGATTGCACTCATTTATTGCATCCACAACACATGAAGTAATTACTTTCTTAAACTGATAATCTATTTCCAAGAACTTTCTTATTATTGTGGATGGGAATGCAGCCAATGAGGACAGGATGCACATAAGAGGATACTCAATGTAAATGCTACCCCCTGTTTTGCTTTGCCTATAATTATCTGTAATGAAAATACATGCCAATCATATGGCATTGTGATATACCGTACTAAGCTCCTGGGCATTGTTTATAAATGTTCACATGCTCACACTTGCAAATTTCTTTCTCTACTCTGAAGAGCCTGTTGCTAAACATTAAGTTAACAGCACTGGTAGAAACAGTGCCTTCACCTGGGATTCTTCACCTAGGATTATCCCTTTGTATGTACCAATACAGCACCAAAGTTTAGAATTGGGGCAAAATGTTGATGCACACCAACATTTCAGAAAACACTGAGTCTAAACCCTGCTCCAATTTTTTGCTTGATTTCTTATAGGCTCATCCCACCACCAGCATGACCATTTAAAAAATTGTTTGCATATATGCAATTTTTTAAAACTATTATATATACAGTGGTACCTTGGTTTACGAACTTAATCCGTTCCGGAAGTCCATTCTTAAACCAAAGCATTCTTAAACCAAGGCGTGCTTTCCCATAGCAGCGGGGGACTCAAATGGAACACACTCAACATTTTCTTATTCCACGGCAAAGTTCACAAACCAAAACACCTACTTCCGGGTTTGCAGCGTTCTCAATCCAAGTTGTTCATAAACTAAGCTGCTTTTAAACCAAGGTACCACTGTATGTAACTCTTTTGTATATGTTATTATATTGTAAATAACTTTGAGATGCCTCTCGGAAGTGATTCATAAATAATAAAATAAAAATCAATAATATCTACTCAGAAGTAAGCCCCACTAAGGACAATGGTGCTTATGCCCATGTAAGCATAGAATCGTAGAACTGTAGAGTCGGAAGGGACCCTGAGGATCATCTAATCCAACCCCCTGGAATGCAGGAATATGCATATGGGGATCAAATCCTGGCATTATCAGCACCATGCTTTAACCAATTGAGCTGTGGTGGATGTATAGGACTGCAGTCTTAATCTATTATTAGTCCAAAAAGTTTTCAAAAAAACCTAGTTACAAGCTCAGGGAAACACCATCACAATGACCAAGAGCATGAAATATGAAAGACAACGGGGAATTAAAGGTCTGTTTTTTCTGCAGTGAATGCATCAAAAACATTTCAAAGGTCACAAATTAAATGGATTCCAACTATGTTGTTTTTATTTTTGGCTTTTCAACTACAAGTCTATAGCAGGTAAGCCATGTAAAAACATTTAGTTCAGACACACTGTGTTTGTGTGTGTGTGTGTGTGTGTGTGTGTGTGTGTGTGTTACAATTCCTGAAAACAGCAACAAATTCTGGCTTAAACAAAAAATAAATCTCACCACTAAATCCTCATATGTGTGACTTCATAACACTGTTTGGATATACTTTGTGCTTTGCTACTTACAGTCTGTGTGCTTAGCACTTCAGACCCTGCTCTGAACAATTCACAGCACCACATATCTACACCAAAAGGTGCCTTAAGTGTATAAGATCCTAACAAACCCATAAACCCATATATAATATAATTACTATCTCATCCTTTTCCATCACACTAGTTCCTCCCTTATAATATTTCAAAATATTCCCCACATCAAAACTCATAACCATTCTTTCCAAATCAAAGAAGCAATTGGGGTTCACGCAGTCATATGCACCCCCTGCTTTTGAAGTTCAGAGGTGAGCACTGCTCCTTTGCCAAACCAGTACCATCACCACAGAAAAGCAAGGCATGATGAGGCTGGGTAGGACCTCAAGATTTGCAGAATTAAAAGCAAAAAATATCCCTAAGTGGGGAAGCCAAGAACAGTTCGGTGAAGATTGAATGTGCTCAGTGGTTACATAAACCATAGTTTATGTAAAGGAGAAAATTGTAAGGTGGAAGCTGAAAGGCAACAATATGCAAAAATTACGATTTGTGAAATTAGAGCTTAAATTAGGAGACTGGGGGGTGGGGGTGGAATTAAGCAATACAACTGAGATATGATGGTTGAATTTGCAGCTTCTCCTGCCCTCAGCCACAGGCCAACTTCTTAAATAATGAACCACTAAAATGACTAGA